TCCTTATGAGAGAGTCTGTTTGTGTCTGTTACCAGACTGTTTGAGTTTGTTTGAGCCGATTTTGAGTACCTTTTGAATCTGCTTTACTCTATGTTTCCATTTGAGTCTGTGTGAGCACTTCAAGTGATGCTTTGAGTGCTTTTTTGTGCGGGCATTGCCCGCCCGCACCGCCTGCACCACACATGGGCTGTTCATTGATCTTGCAGGTTCAAATTTCAACCTTGCAGTATTGTTGTCGAACTGATTGTTAACTGATCAGGCCCAGGTAATTCAGAGTTATTTTATTCATCCGATTATCAGGATTCAAACTCAGGTCTGTTCATCGACAGTTCATGGGTGTACCGTGCACCCACATGGGCTGTGTATCTCTCCTTTTTTTTTTCAACGTTCTCTCTTTCTTTTTCCCCATGTATTTCGTTACCTATTCTTCAGTTTCTTCATTTTTTTCCCTTCCCTGTACATGCATCCACATCGGCTGCGTCAAAAAAGAAAAAAAAAAAGGGCATCGCTCTTTGGTCTTGTGGATTGTCCTTCTACCTTGCGCTGGGCTTCCCTCAAGTTTCTCCTTCAACTTCTTTTCCCTTCCTCCTTGCTGTCTTTCTCTTTCTCCTTTTACAGCCTCCTCCTCCTCCTCCTCCTCCTCCTCCTCCTCCTCCTCATCCTCACAACTAGCTATTTTAACGGATGTCACGAAGGACTTTTTGAAATTTGGACCATTTCTGCATTTCTGATGTCATCCTTGCGGAGGGGCATGCTTATCTTCGCTGTATCGTTCCAATTTTGAGGGATAGACGAAAGTACCCAAGAAGCCTGCTAAGTGGGTACACCCATGAACTTTTGAAATGCAGACCGGAGCTGGAATCCAGATAACGGAACTTGATGAATAAAACCAAATATTTCTGAATTGCCTGGTCGGTCAGCTCAGTGGTGAGATTATTTCTCGAAGTCGTCTCCCTTCCGAGAAAAAAAAACGAAAAAGAAAAAAAGACTTTTTTTTTTGTTTTGTTTTGTTGCGTTTTTTGTCTTTTTTTTTTTTTTGTCGGAATGAATTCACATAATACAAGATGTTTTTTTCTTTGAGAATGTGAATATTTTTCACTTTTCTTTTTTTGTCTGTATGAATATGAAAAAATGAGCGCAAGGAATCTGGAGTGCACGTTAGAGATGCTCAGCACAGGAGACACCGTCGGTGTCCGGGAAAATACTCACATTCACGACTAGCTGGAGGCATGTACCTGACCACAATTACAGCTGGGTTCTGTCACATTCAGGACTAGCTGGAGGCATGTACCTGACCACAATTACCGTCGGGATCTGTCCCAAAAGTGTGAGTACTGGAGGCATGTAGCTGACCACATCGATGCAGAAAGCAACTGCAAAGTACTGCTGAGCGAACTTTAGATCACCATTTGCTGACTTGGTAAATGATTGATTAATCCATAGAAGTTTAGAACTGCAATAGGATGCTTTGGATGGGGGAGGAGGAGGAGGGGGGGCGGGGGTGGAAGTACTTTAGTTTATGCAGGCCATTCAGGAGTGCAGATTATCATTGCTAACTCAATGATAATTGATGAATCAATGAAAATTCAGAACCGGAGCTGCAGGTAAAATATTTAAGTTGAATGTCGGGATGGTTCCTACCAAGGACCTCATCCCCACGATCACAACTATAATGATAAAGCCATGTGATAAGAAACAGCAGAATAACAGGCACACAGGCTGGTAGCCAGGCAGGCAGGCAGGCACACGTGCCGGCAGGCAGCAGGCAGGCAGTCGGGCAGGCCGACATACAGACAAGCAAGCAAGCAAGCATGCTGGCAGGCACGTTGGGTGGGAGGCACACGGGTAGGCAGGCAGGCACACAGGCTGGCGGGCAGGGCGGCAGGCAGACAGGCGGGCAGGCAGGCAGGCAGGCAGGCAGGCAGGCAGGTAGGCAAGCAGGCAGGCGGGTAGGCAGGCAGGCAGGCGCGCAGGCAGGCACACAGGCAGGCAGGCAGGCGCACAGGCGGTCACACAGGCAGGCAAGCAAGCAGGCATGCAAGCATGCACACACACAGGCAGGTATGCAGGCAAGCACCCAGACAGGCAGGCAGCTATGCAGGCAAAGAGGCAGGCAGACAGGCAGAGAGGCAGGCAGATAGGCAAACAGGCAAGCGGGCAGGCAGACAGAACGGCAGGCCGGAATTCGCAGGCAGGCAGGCAGGACGCAGGCAGGCAGGCCGGCCCCCCCGCCACGGAACTTCACGGTCCTGGCCCCTTGGCATCCCTCCTTCCTGTCCCCAATCAAGCCCTTCACACCTGTGTGTCTGCACAGTCAAATTGAAGGACTCAATAATCGATAGCGGCTGTTGGAGGGATGAGGGTAGACGAGTGTGGAGTAAAAGCAAGCGTCATGCTCAATAATGCGTAGCGGACATGTAGTCAGAGAAGGACTCAATAATCGATAGGGGCCGTTGATGCTGTGGATCCACCAGTGTGCATCCAAACTTAGGCAACATTGTGGTGCACATCCTAGCATCCGCCATCTGCTCGTGGACATTGCGCTATAAGGGTTAGAATGTCATCTAACTTTGCACTTGGCATATTCTTCGTTCTTCATGCTGGTCCGTGCAGATGGTCAAGCATCCGCTCAGCATAACACCACGGTCGAGACACATGGACGGAGAGCGGGTGAGGGATCATCACGCTCTGATGTGCCGATGCATATAGATCAAGCAGATGATATTGATTTTTCGAACGGTCATTACCTCTATGATGATTGCAGATTGCATGAGTACATCGAAGATTGTCAACAGTTTGAGTATACCGTGCCGGTCGAGATGCATCATATGGAACAACGTCGTCATCAGTCGAATGCTGTAGTGCGGTATGGTGTAGTAGGTAAGGTTCCAAATGATTATGCCTTAAGGGAAGCATTTGGTAGGTTCCTTACGGACAACGAAGGACTTCGTTGGACTCAGGATGAGTTGTTGGATATGTTGAAGAAGAAGGAGGTGGAACTGAATGTCGTTAAGAGTGCGTTGGCGAGCATTGAGCTCAACGCAAAGTCAGTCATCGAAAAATTCCTTCAAAAGGAACGAAACAATGAGGTAAGGGATTCCTCTGTGCCCGATAGTGTGCATGACAAACAAGAGGCAAAACTTGACATGGACATGGAGATGGGGATTCGTTCTCGAATGCGGTCCAAGATTCGAGATGATTTGATTGATGAGATTGCTAAGCTTAGCACCCAAGTTTATCCCTATCTGCTGGAAGAGTGTGATGGTTTGCGTCGGCGACTTGAAAAGGCCGAATGTGAATTGAGGAGATTGGTGTCCTGTCGTGGCCTCGCAGTGGCAGATCCATCTTCTAAAAATTCAGTCTTCGAGTTTCCATCAGATGAAACTCTGAAGGCTCTTCCGAAAAGACATCTGATTGCGATGTTACATTCACTTCGAACTGTTGGTTCTGAGCTGGCGCATATAAATGCAATGTTGGAGGTCCAAAATGCCATGAAGTTTCCTGTGAGCGACAACCAGATGAGGGCAACAGTAGTTAATCTTGGCCAATTGTATAAGGAGGCACGCGAAGAGTTGATGGATGCTGTGTTTGTGGACAAATTCGGTGACCGGTGGGATTACCACTCCAAGTTTTATTGGGCTCAACGTCACAATGAGCAGGTGTACCAGCTTAGGAAATTGCTTGCCGACGTCGTGCTAACTCATTCGCCAAAACAATTTATGGAGGAGTTGAGCAATGTGAAGAAAAAGTTGAATGTTCTTGCAAGCATGAATAAAGAACATGAAAAAAAACTCAATGAGACTGTGATTGCATTGGTGGAATCTTTTAATCGCCAATGTCCTAGATGTCGTCGAACATATTGGGCACGATTGGACTTTACAAGGATAAATAAACTCTCGGTTGTTAAACCGAAATGTGATGGGAACACAAACATTTATCCCGATGAACATAGTCAGGTCAATGAGGATGATGAATTTGCGATGGAAGAAAGGAGGAAGCGACTTCGCGAATTGGCAGAGGAAGATAAACAAGAGTGAAAGAGGAGGGAGTGTTGTGTTTGTGGACAAATTCGGTGACCGGATGGGAGACGAGAACAAGTTTTATTTGGCTCAACGTCACAATGAGCATCTGTACCACCTCAGGAAGTTGCTTGGCGACATCCTGAAAGCTCATTCACCAAAACATTTTATGGAGGAGTTAAGCAATGTGAAGAAGGAGTTGAATGCTCTTGCGAGTATGAATAAAGAACATGAAAAGAGACTCAATGAGGTTGTTCTCGCATTGGTGGAATCTTTGAATCGTCGATGTCATATGTGTCGCAGGACATATTGGTCACGATTGGACCGTACGAGGATAAATTAACTCTCAGTTGTTAGACCGAAATGTGATGGGAAGACAAACATTTATCCCGATGGAGATAGTAAGGTCAATGACGACGACATCTTTGCGATGGAAGAAAGGAGGAGGCAACTTCGTGAATTCGCAGAGGAAGATGAATAGAGTGATATTTCATTATTGTTGAATTCGCCATTGAGAGGAAGAGAAGTAACAAGAGTGAAAGAGGAAGGAGGAGAGGAAGGAGGGGGAGGATGTAGGGTACGGGGATGACAGTAATTGCAAAAGGATAAGGGAGCTATAAATAGGAGGGAGAAAATTATTGTTTATTGTTCCCACTGTAAGCGCAAGGTTTGATGTATTGTTAGATAGGTAGATGATAAAAACTCAAAGGGCTTAGGATTTCAGGTGTAAGCTTTAAGAAAATTCGAAATATTACTATTTTTTCTAATGTCGTTTTTATGTTTAGAGCGAGAGAAGAAGACAATATGTAATCATTTGACTTTTTTTTTTTGTAAACGATGATAATAACTATTTATAAATTTAAATTATGACGCTTGACTTTTGTCTAAGAGATCTTCTATCTTTCTCTCTCCTTTCTCTCTCTTTATTTGACTCTCTCTCTCTCTCTCTCTCTCTCTCTCTCTCTCTCTCTCTCTCTCTCT